AGACAAGAAGTATCAAAGTCTTTGCATCGCATTTATCAACCCTAATCGATCTGCACACAACAAATTGCGATTGCATTGTCGAACTTTGGGACTTCACACAGATAAATAGCGTGTACACATATACATATATGGTATATATATTATATATTCACGATCGTATCGTATCTGGGCGTCTGCTTCCTGCCGTTGCACTTGGCACTTAACACTTGCTGCAGCTGCAGTCTGGTGTTCTGGGGTTCATTCAAATGCCCGATATCGGAGCTGTAAATGAGCAAACAATTGCGCTTTGTCAAATGACATAATCCCCCCCATAAATACTGTATAAACAATATGGAATTGAGTTCTATCTACTGACTGCAGTTGCTGCTGCTTTTATTTCTGTTTCTGAACTGTCTGTCGATGCGTCATAAGACGGCGTGAAATGTAAGTCAGTGCACGGTAAAAAATTTAGCTAATTATTGTTGATTTAAAGTAGATTTGTATTAAATTAGTATTGAATTTTTAGAATTACGTAACAATAAAAAGAAAAACATTTTTTTGTATTATATTGAAGATTTATATAATTTGTATTGCCGAAAAAAATATAAATAGGAAAATGAATAGTTATTAAATAAATGTTAAAAGCATAGTGCAAAACTTTTCAAGATAAATATTTAATTTGTTTTAATTAGAAAGTTAAAGGATTAGGTACATTTCTTAATGAATATAAATAAAAGAACATTTTTATTTTTATAAAAAAATTCTTTAAATACATTTTTAAAAATTCTATAAACATGATCATATATTTTTCTTGTGTGCAGATAGACAAAAGAATGGATTGTGGGGGAAATACTTGAATAACTGAGCTAGTTACACCACCGTTACAATGAGCTGTAGGCGTGACAAGTACAACAGCAGCAACAGCAACAGCAACATGGACTGCAGCAACAGCAACATCGACTGCAGCAACAGCAACAATCAGCTGCTGATACAAATTAATTACGACGCAGACAGAGCGCAGACGACGGCTGATATATATGTGTATACCTATACTATATATACATATAACGCGTGGGGAGATCTCGGCGTGACATTGGCATCTCAGCATCTCCAGCATCTCTCGGCAAGAAGGGAAGCCCGCCAAGTGGCCGGCGAAAACCGGCAGAGCAAGTGCCGTAATCCGAGATGAGATACCGCTGCCGCCGATCTCTCGATCTTCGCAGCTGCACCATATAATAATAATAAACATATATAGGTGCATATACCTTACAGCAAAAACAGGAAGTAATCGCTCTCCTTTGCATGCAAACGATTTACAATAAATAATTATGATAATGCTGCTGCTGGCAATGTCAGAGATGAAACTCGGGCAATGACACAGCTAAATCGACAGGAAGGAAGTGTTTGCACTTGTTAAACCCCCGGAACCCCGAAACCCCGGATCCCCGATCTCCAGAAACATGAGCAACATGAGCAGAGCACAGCCAGCAGCAACACAATCAGCAGCAACATCAGCAGCAGCAGCAGCAACATCATCATCAGCAACACCTTCGAATAAAAAAGAAACAAAAAGAAAAAACCAAAGAGGCGGAACAGGCGTGTCATGGGCCTTTTTTGGGGGCGTGGCAAAAGCAATATCTGTCAGCCATTAAAGTCAGAACTCGAGCTATCTGTGAAATCAGCAATTGGCATAATAAGTAGTAAAAAAGGGCGCTTAAGTACCTACTGTTTGAAATAAATATTCAAGCAAAATCAATAAAAAAAATTAAGTGGGCTGAACGAAACATTTAAAAGTATATAAAATATAATTATATACATTATAATTATAATAATTATAGATAGTAAAATATGATTTATAAACTTAGAATTTAAAAATAAAACACAGGAAATTTTAAGTATATTTTAAAGAAACTTAAATCAGTGCCGAATATGCCTATAAAAAAATATTAAAATAATTATAAATAGTAAAATATGATTCATGAACTTACTTTTGTTATGTTCCTAATTATTTTCTAATTAAAGAATAAAACATAAAAAATATGAAGTAAAGATTGTGTAAATGTGCTAAAGAAACTTAAAATCAGCGCCTAATGTCATAACAATTTATTCAAACTTTGAGGGCAATGACAAAAAGTTAACAAAAGGGGCAACTTTTCAGCTTAACCACACTGAAAGCGTTCTGAAAAAACATTTGCAAACGAACCATTAAAGCAATTTTGCCGCACAGAAGGGATTTTTGAACTTTCTTTTGAAGAGAACACTTTTCACTTTTATTTTTTCCCTTTTCTCGCTTTTTTTCGGGTTCACAGATGTCGTTTGGCGCTGTTGTTCTTTTGAATTTTTCGTACACGAGAGTGTCTGTCTTTATTTGACTTTCTGGCACTCTTGTTCGGCTACAATTTCGTTGTTCGACGGTCTTAAATTTCGTCGCACTTGGCGTAAAATGAAAATGATAATAAATGAAATAAAATTATCGAAGGGGGTTGGGTTAGCATTTGTGACATTCGAATTACATGCTGGTCAGAGTGCAAATAATTCCTGGAATTATTCTGGCATTCCTCAAATATTATTATCACTCCTCGCACTCGACATTTCGCATTCTATACCCCGCTGTACCAGTAATTATAGCAGCCCCCTGAGAACTGAGAACGTTTTAATGTCGAAAATACAGAATACCTGAACTTTACATATGCGTGTGATTTTTTTATGTTGTATAAGTTAGGGGTAAACAAATAGTAAAAATTACTAACGATAATTTTAGCCATTCATAAAAAGTCTAGGATCAAAGACAAAATATTCATTAAGATTTCGAATTTCCAGGGAAAATAGTTTGAAGATGTTTCTTAATTATAATCACAAAAAAGAATTAATTAATTTATGCGTTAAGAAAAAAGATCCGATTTCATACATTTTCATTATAAATAAATACCAATATATATTAAATTTTTATTTCCAAAAAAAAACTTCAATTGATTTAAAGTTAAACTACTCTGTGAAATTGGTTCAATAGAATTTACGAGCTTAGTGGAATTTGTCCGCAGTATCATTATATGATTACTGCCCCCGGGGCGACCTTACCACCCCCACCCATGTTTTTTTTTTCACCCCCACCTCTCCTCCCTCTCAAGCGGAAGCCAGCAAACAAGCGGGATTCATGAGCATATCATCATTATCATTGGGGCCATTATTATGCATTATGTGTGCCCCGATTACCATCTCCGTTTGTCGGACGAACGGATGGCTTCCCGCTGTTCAAGGGGGGTTGCAAGGGGGGTTGGCAGGGGCGTCGAAAAATACGGGCGGAAAGTTAGCAAGGATAAGCGTACTTTACGCAACTTTGCGCTATGAATGAGGCCCCGCTTACATGACCCCTCGCATGATTATGTTCACGAATTGTGTGGGATTACGAAATAAATGCGAGAGCGGCAATTGATTATCTAAATTTTTAATATTTCTTTTTTTGAGAGGAGAAAATAATATACATATGTTACGAGCTGTTGCCCAAAAATTATGCCACAAATTAAAAAGGGAAAAATATGCTTTGAAAATATTAGTAAAATTTTCATCTATTTAGTGATTATCATAAATTCATATTTTCATAAAATAGTAATATAAATATATATATTAAAGTTATATTTTAGATGGCATTCTCTGGGAAAGTAAATAATGCACTTATCGCACTTTTCAAAAGTTTTATTCAAACTATGTCACAGGAAATCTGTTCAACTTTAATAGCTCATACATCAGATACTCGGATGGTCTTCTTCTTTTATTTTTCCCACCCTTGGTCCACGAACTGTGAAGTTTTTCGCCTTGCCAAAGTTTGTGAAATAGCTTGGAAAATAAGTTTTGTTGAGCGATGATAAGAACTGACAAACAACTTGATACATTGGATAAGCACTTGTCGATTAAGAAAGAGATTCGGGGAATGGGAACAGCGAGTAGATGCTAATTAAAAGCGGCGACAAATTGAATCAAAGTTAAGACAAAGTTGGGCCTTGCACGATTTACTCAATATCTCTCATTATTTCGCTCTAACTTTTTCCGCTCTCTTTCTATATACTAATATATATATATTGGAGTACATATATAACCTCTCTCTGAAAGCCAGACAAACAGCCGCCAACGATTATCGATGAACACAAAGCGAGTGAAAAATAAAACTTGAAATTTATCACCGAAAGATTCTTGAACTCGTCACTAAGGTCGTCAACTGTCCCCCCGATCCCCACATGATACCCCTCGATACCTCGCACTCCTCGTTCAGAACAGGTATCTCGGTATCTCGGTGTGTGCTGACTGATTGTTTGACTGATTGATCGCCCGATCATTGATTGATTAACTCCAGCTCTCGCTCTTCTTACACAAAGAAAAATGAATAAATAAAAACAATACCAGTGGCACACTTTTCTTTATTTTGTCAGTATTATTTACTTAATCAGTGGATCGTGACTTGATTAAATATATTTTACATAATTATTGGCACTACAATTTTTTAATAAATTTATATTTAATATAGGTACATCATAAAAGTAGAGATCATGAAAAACAACTGCATTTTTCTATACAGATTTATTTTATTTTCGCTCTAGAAAATATTAGCTATTTTTAGTTTAATAGAATATTAATTAATTTAAAATCTTTTTTTTAAACACTAACCATTTCTCTCTGTGTATCGTTTCAGGCATGTGGCAGCCATGAGGCGGCAGCGTTCCACTCGCTGCCAGCTGTTATTATGCCCGGCCACTTGTTGCAGGCATTCATGATGCAAATGCAACTGCAACTGCAATTGCAGACAGTGGCACAACGAACTCGATACTCGGTCCTTGGCCAAATACTGAAAGAAGAAAAACACTCATACGCCATGTGGGCGAGAGGCGATCGGTGGATGTTGCATGAACAGCACCCGACAATAGCCACACTGGCCCATGGCCAAGGCTAAGGCTAGTGCCACAGCCACACAGCACCACCAGAAAAATATAAATACGACAACCACCACCACCAGACACAACAACCACAACAACAACGATAAGAACAACAACAACAGCAACAACAACAACAAACAACTGAAACATCAACAAAAGTTGAAGAACTCCGTTGAACTCGAAAGAAACAAAACATCAAGAAAATGTCTGAGGTAAGTTAACATTTAAGTTACAGAGAGAGAAAAGTCTTATAAATAAAATCTAAAATATTATCTATAAAATATAAGAAAAATTTAAAAAGCTTACGATCAATTTTTCATAATTTAGCTTTATAAGCTGATTTAATATATATTTTATTATATTTTGTTAAACAAAACGCCATTTGCAAAATTTTTAAAAATAAGTTATATTACATTTTGCAAACCATTTAAGACAACCATTTTCCAATACGTTTAAATTTAAAATACTATATTTCTTTTTTGCTTTAGATAACTATAATATTAACAAAATATTTTAGGAAGGCTACTCCAATTTCAGGACATTATTAACAATATTTCTCTATAATTTAAAAATAGTTTTTATTAACTATGCCAGTGGGCTTTAAGGATGATTAAAGGAACCAAGCAGAGTGCTTCTTTGACGTTGTCTCTTTTTTAAAAGAGACGCGGGGGGTCAGCATTTCCATTTTTATTGAATTAAAATCGATTTTCAGTTTATTTTATCAAAAGACTTAAGAGCATCAAACACATTAAAAGCAAAAAACCGCACACACTTTCATACACACACAAAGACAAGAAGCTGTTTGTGAGGGGGTTGGTGTATGCTTACATCTATATTTATGTGTGTGTGTTCAGGGATTGAAAGAAGAAGAAGATGAAGCTTTCTCACATACAAAGTCTTCAACTATAAACTTGTATAAAGGTGGGTGATTGACAAGGGGAATAGCCTGCAATAAATTCTAGATAAAAATCAAAGATATAAAAAGTTAAGAACATTTACTAACAATTTTCAAAGCCCGTTTAAAAATGATATTGTAAAATGTTGTTTAATTGTATTTTACATTTTTGGCAATGCTTTTATTTTATTTAAAAAACTTTCTTTAAATTTGTTCAATTTAAAATACAAAATATTTGAATGGTCTAATGACCTTTAGAGAATATTTTGCTTTCAAGATTATTTTCGAGCTGCGTTCCTTGGGTTTCGCATTACTTTCGCTGCCCTTTCTCCATCACTTCCTGCTGGCATTTCCCGCATAGGCATTTGAATTTTGGGTCACTGACGTCGTCGTCGTCATCCGTCGTCTTCATCGTCGCCGTTGCCATCACCTCCGCCTCATGTTTATGTACGAGTTTGCCTGTACGGCTATATGTGCGGATATATGGCGGCTATATAGTTATATAGAACATATGTACCGTGAGCATCGGGAGCAACAGGCGGCGGCAATAACGACTCGAGTCAAGCAGCTGTCGCCATAAACAAGCACGGACCCACCACTCACGTACACACACACCGACATAAATATTGACCTAATTTGCACCTGTTTACAAATTCATTCGAGCTCAGAAGCCACCCAAAAAAACCCACCCATCGAAGAACCCTAGCCAACCTTACCATTCCATTTCACGTCCTGGCAGGACTTTGTGCTTTTGGCGCATGATTTATGCAGCAAACGGAGCGCGACAACCTCGACGGCGTCTCCATCGCGAGGGCTCCTAAGTGGGTCGACCATGTCCACAGCCACATCCACATCCACATCCATATATCCACGTTCACATCCTCGTTCTCATCCAGGTCCAAGTTGCAAAAAGAAGCCAAGCCCAACATGCCAAGCTGAATGACCGTGTTTCTTGCACAGTGGAAAAATTTAAGATATCACTTGTAGCTTATTTCATATCAATAAAAGGCCACTTAATGTCAAATGTATGATTCAAGCATATCAACTTGATCTTTTATCGTATCAGTTACTTCATAAAAACTATACAAATGTAGTATTTCAAAAAAAAAAAATAAACATAATCTATATTTATATCAAAATGATATTAAATACTTGATCTTTAAATAAAATATAAAATTGAAAGCACATATCAATCGGATCTTTTGTAAATTTTTTTTCTGTGTAGTCATGATTTTTAAGAAAAACATTTGGAACTGATTTTTTTGTATAAAAAGTTAGTTTTCATTCATTTAATCTATCTATTTTATTCACTTTAAATTTTAAAACATACACCTTCGTCATATAGTTTCAATTTAATTGGCTATATAGAATTCTCGCTCTCTGTATGGGCTCCATGGGCCAGATTGCCAGTTGGCATGTTATTAGGGAGCGGAATTTGCATTTTCAACCCGCTCGTTGAGGGTAAAACTTTTTGGCTGCGGGAGCAACAAATTTGCAAATGCGAAATTCGATGTTATTCAGCGCTGGCTTACGCGGCGTATGCTTGATCTGCAAAGGGATGGTACTGGAAAAAGTCCCAAAGTAAAAGCAAGAAATCTTGGGCCAATTAAATCCGATAATCAAAAAGAAAATGAATTACGTTAAAAATTTGAAAGTACCTCGTTTTTAAAATCACTTTAAAAAACATTGTTGCATACTTTTACACACCTTTATCGGTAATTTGGTTTTAAATTAAACAAAAAAATTATACCAAAATTGGGTTTTCAACTTAAATTACTGGAAATGTTATCTTCAAACTTAAACCAGCTGAAAGATGAGACACTCGAAGGATGGGACTTGAAAATCATTTGGTGCCCCATCAGAAGTGAGTTAATCCGGAGAAGAGTCTGAAATGAAGACACTTAGCTGGCTGAATGCTTAACTTTAATTGCCGAGTGCAGCAGTTGCGGGGATTAGGAGCACTCGAAACGCGATTCAATCGAGGACTTAATGAGTGCCTTGGTCATTTGCCTCGACTCGATTCGACTCGACTCAAGATAATAATGATGATGATGACGATGGCGTCTGGCAATTAGGCCGATTTGCCATCAACTTGTCCTCGCCCTGACATTGCCATTGAATTATCCTCATCCTCATTCTTATATCCTTGTGCTCGTGCCCATTTCTATTTCCACTCTGCTTATTTTCATCGTCATCATCGCTGCTTGTCTTTGACAGCTCGAATCTGTTGTTGTGCGGGCATTGATTTCCCTTTGATTGATGCGTTTTTAATGAAGGCGGATGGCCAGGTGCCCCGAATCATTAGCGCGATTTTTCTCTCCATTTTTTCTGTTATTTCTCTTTATTTTCCCCCATATTACCCACTAAGACAAACAGCGTAGCCAGGCTGATCCGCAATAAACTAAATGAAAAATAAATAGTCAATAACAATGAGGCAAGTGGATGCGAAGGGGGAACCTCAAGGCGAAGAAAGTGTCGCAATGTCGTGGCCTGAAATTGACACAGCACTAAAGTTACGACGAGCAAACAAAAGTGGCCAACAAGCAGCTTCGGGTCAGGTAGGCAAAAAAAAAATAGAAAGAAAAATGGGGGAAAAATGTGTGCGGAAAACGGGATGGAAAACTGGCAAACGAATGACGCTCTACGTGAGCCATGTACACAAGAATATTAAGAGAGTATGAAGAGGCAAAGGACCGACCTACCATCAACAATATTGTAATCACAAACTATGCAAAAAAGTCGAGACCAGAGCAACATGTTACCCGGCTGAAATGACACGTTTTGTCACATTCTCCATGAACATGAAATAAAAAACAGGACAAATCAAGCATTTAACAGTCGAAAAAAAGATAAACAATTCTAGAAATAAAACAATTTTCTACAACATATTTTTTTCAAGGTGTGTAAAAGTAGGCAACAATATTTATTGTCAGAATGTTTTTTTTACTGCATACTTTTAGACACTTTTATAAATGGTTTCTACTAAACTTTTTCATATTTCGCCTATTTATTATTTAAATTTTTCTAATGGTATTATTCTAATGCTATTTATTCTGTAAATATAAGAAGGATAAGAAACAAATAGCCCATTTAATTCGCTTTAGCTAACTTGCGTCCGTAATTTGCAATCAAATCAGCGGTTATAATGTCCCGCCAAAATGACCACAGCTTCTTCGGTGGGCTGAGGTTCGTGGGATCTCGTTGTGAATTCATGACTTTGACGTTGTCATGGAGGCCGCAATCAGGGGTCAAGGGGCGGGGCCAAGGTCATAATGAGCTCAAAGTGGTGCACCGCAACCCACTGCCACCCGCCAGCCACTAATCTCCAATCGCCAAACCTTCATTGAGCGGCCATCTATCTGTTTGCATAGCCAGAGGAAAGGCTATTGGGGCGACGACACTTAAATTACATTTCAGATTTGGAGTCACAGTTAAATGTATATTTTTTAAGCACTTTCCATTGATTATTAAAATTGTACTTGGAGTATTTTTTGTGTTAAATGAATAAGTAAAGGCCTTAAGATACGAAAATAAAATATAAAGGTGGCCAAAAGTAGTCAGCAATAAATTTTATTTATTTATTGAAATTTTTAATATACGAAAATAAAATATAAACTTGTCTAAAAATTAAATCTAAGTCCAAATTTCGAAAATAAAATATAAGGGTGTCTAAAAGTAGGCACCAAATTATTTTCTTTCTTATTTTCATGCCCCCAGACACTTTTTAAGTGATTTAAAAATTCTAGTAAATTCCCCCGCATATCCTTCGTCCTTTATTTCACAAAAAACTTTCCTCTAGTCGCCTGATGTCCAGAGTTTTCCACTCAAAGTGGCTTAAAGGCGACATCCAGCCAAAGGCCCAGCCAACAGCTGTTTCCTCCGGCTCCGCCGAGCACTTCCCTCTTCGTCCTTCCGTCCTTCCGCCCTTCCGTCCTTCCATCCTGCCACTCCATCCGATCTTTCCGCATCATTATGAGGAAGCTGCCGACGCCTTTGCACTCGCAGCAGAAGCAGCAGCAGCAGCTGTCGAAATTAACATAAAACATTTATGGCAATGTCGTCGAGTCGCGGGCAGGACTAAGCCGTTTGTATCCTGATTTGCATGCATTTGCATATGAGGAGGATAAAGGGGCAGGATGGGTTGTCAAGTGGTTGTCGCTGGTCGCTTGAGTTGTCGCGTTGAGGCGCGTTTATCTGTGCGTATGCAGAAAGTTTTCCAATTAAAAGTTTTTGCCCAGGTCCAAGTCGGTTTCCACCCACCCACCGTCGGTCCTTCGTCCTCCGTCGTCCTGTTGCGACAATTAAGCCCCATAATGA